AGAAGAAGTACAGTGGAGGACATGAGACTGGTCTGTTGGACAGAGATGTTCTTCTGAAGCTGGGGAGGCTGGCGTTTGAACATCTGCAGAAAGGAAACATCATGTTCTACCAAGAAGATCTGGACCAATGTGGTCTGGACGTGACCCAGGCCATGGTCTACTCAGGAGTTTGTACTGAGATCTTCAGAAGAGAGAGTGTGATCTTCAAGAAAACTGTCTACTGCTTTGTTCATCTGAGTGTTCAGGAGTTTCTGGCTGCAGTCTACATGTTCCACTGCTACACCAACAGGAGGACACAGGTACTGCAGGACTTCCTGGGAAAAGAATACAAACCCAGCAAATCCAAATTGGAAACTATTGTTAATACGTTTAAGGTAAAATATGACTTCACTATGACTGACTTCCTCAGAAAGTCAATGGAGAAATCCCTCCAAAGTAGAAATGGTCACCTGGACCTGTTTGTTCGCTTCCTTCATGGTCTGTGTCTGGAGTCCAACCAGAGAATCTTGGGAGACCTGCTGGGTCAGACACACTACAGTCCAGAAACCATACCAAAGGTCATTGAAAACCTAAAAAAAATGAACACGATCAACATCTCTCCAGAGAGAAGCATCAACATCTTCCACTGTCTGACAGAGTTGAAGGATCAGTCAGTTCATCAGCAGATCCAAGAGTTCCTGAAGTCAAAGACCAGAGAGAAAGAACTCTCTGAGATCCAGTGCTCAGCTCTGGCCTACATCCTGCAGATGTCAGAGGAGGTTCTGGATGAGTTGGACCTGGAGAAGTATAACACATCGAAGGAGGGAAAACTGAGACTGATCCCAGCTGTGAGGAACTGCAGGACGGCTCGGTGAGTCCAGACATAACTATGTGCCAGATTGATCACCACTGACCAGTTTACTAGTTTCTGTCTGTGACTTAAAATTCCAGCCTGGATGTCTACAGGTCAAAGTTACCACAAAGACCCAGGACTTGACTTTAACCCTGTGAATGTTGACAGGGTTTGGGTTCATACAGGTCACATGTCGTTCTAACAGATCCTTCTGATTTCTTTGATCGAAGGTTTGGAGATTGTCACCTCTCAGAGACCCACTGGGAGGTGGTGGCCTCTGCCCTGAAGACAAATCCCTCACACATGGTTGTTCTGGATCTGAGCTCCAACCTGTACCTAGAGGAACCAGGGATCAAGAAGCTGTGTTCTGGATTGGAGAGTCCACACTGTAGACTGGATAAACTGAAGTGAGTGGACAGTCAAACCCTAACAGTCCACACCCCTAAAATTAACAATACAAATGTTTTACGCTGTAGTGAAACCACTTTTTTTTTTAAATCTCCCAAAATTCTCAATGTTTTTCAGGTTGGACAATTGTGCATTGCCAGATGTCAGGTGTTCTCTTCTGGTCTCAGCTCTGAGGTCCAACCCCTCCCTTCTGACCAAACTGGACCTGGGTGGAAATGACGTGAAAGATTTGACAATGGAGAATCTGTGTGGTTATCTAGAGAGTCCAAAATGTCGACTGGAGACTCTGAAGTGAGTGACCTGCAGTACTGACCCATTGACCTTTAGTCCTAACTCACTGACATGCAGTACTGACCCACAGTAGTTACACACTCACAGTTGGCACTTTTTGATTTTTGATTTTTCTTCTTTGTTCAGGTTGAGATTCTCCCATTTGTCAGATGTCAGCTGTTCTTCTCTGGTCTCAGCTCTGAAGTCCAACCCCTCCCACCTGAGGAAACTGACGTTGGGGGGGAATAGGCTGCAGGATTCAGGGATGAAGGATCTGTGTGGTTTTCTCCAGAGTCCAGACTGTAAACTGGAGGATCTGGAGTGAGTTCACTGACTGTTACTGTTGTAAATGTCAAACAGGGATACACACATTTTAGTTGTACAACACAGACTATCACCCCCTGCTGGAGAAAACTAATACTACTTCCAACACTGGTCAGTACAGTGTAGAAGGGCTGTATTCACCCAGAGGTGGGGGCATTGTTGATGGTTCTTCTACTTTGTGAGGGCTGAACAGACATTCCATAGTTGGACCAGCAGCACAGACCTGCTGCAAGAACCACAGACTCAATGCTGTGATGAAGTTCACAGACACATGATCACCTCGGATGTACGGGACGTTTGTCATAACCTGTGAAAAGTTCTCTGGTCTTATAAACCATGAAAGACCTGGTTGTTCTTCGTGCAGGTTGAAACGCTGTGAGTTGACAGAGATCAGCTGTTCTTCTCTGGTCTCAGCTCTGAAGTCCAACCCCTTCCATCTGAAGAAACTGGCCATGAGCTCAAACCCTCTGCACGACTCAGGAGTGGAGTTTCTGTGTGTTTTTCTGCGGAGTCCAGACTGTAGACTGGAGGATCTGAGGTTTCTGCTCTAACATTTAACTTCACTGTTGAACTTCACCTGCTCTACAACCACACACATTCAGTCCAGTTACACTTTCCTCTGTTTCATTCATCGTGACATTTCAACCATGATTAAATTAAACCAACATTAAAAATGTACAGAAGGACCAGACACTGCTGTTCTATTGATTCTTTACACTCTGATTCTTCCACAGGTTGAGGGACTGCAGGTTGTCAGAGATCAGCTGTTCTTCTCTGGTCTCAGCTCTGACGTCCAACAACTCCCGTCTGAGGAAACTGGACTTGAGCGGAAACAACCTGGAGGATTCAGCAGTGGAGGATCTGTTTGGCCTTGTGGATGATCTGATGTCAGTGTAGAACATTGGAGTCAAAATGTTGAAACTAAATCTGTTTTTTAATTATTTGTAAACTTCCTTGTCTCTCCACTTGGTGGCGTGTGATCAGATTCCCATACTGTTTCATTTTTACAGACCTTATTGTCTATGAACTGCGTGTGTTCATATTTTAATTGACAGGTGAATGTGTTGCCTTTTCTTACCTTACTCCGACTGTAGAGGGCGCGGCTGCTCTACTTGTATTTAACGTGACATAAACTGCTCTCATCTCTGCTCATTTCTCTTCTCTCCACAGATGGGAGCTATGGTGT